GCCAGGATTACAGGCACGTGCCACCATGCCCAGCTAATTTTTTGTAGTTTTAGTAGAGACCGGGTTTCACCATGTTGACCAGGATGGTCTCGATCTCTTGACCTCGTGATCCACCCGCCTCGGCCTCCCAAAGTGCTGGGATTACAGGCTTGAGCCACTGCGCCCGGCTTCAATTTCTCTTATAGTTTCACAATACCAATGTATTTACTTAATAGACACCCCTTAACAAAGATCATCAACTGATGCTGAGAGTGGGAGCTCTTGGAGAACAGGATATTCCCATTGTGCCAAGGAATCACCCCACAGATTACTTACTAATAACAAAATGGAAAACTTACCTTTACAATAAAGCAAACAGTAGAACTGAGCACCACACTAATGGAGGACATCATGGGCCTCCTGATGTGATCCAATGTGGAATACACATCACTCCTCATGAAGTATCAGCAGAAAAAATGTTACTCTAAATCTGATCAAACTTCAGTCTAGACCTAACTTCCAGTTTATAGCAAATAGGATACAGAAACAAGATAAAGGATATCATGGACAATAAAACTCTAGAAGGTAAGGCGTTATATAAGACTACTGGCCTGGACTTTTTAAAAAATGAATGTTCACAACACACACACACACACACACACACACACACACACACACAGACACAAAGGTGGGCCAAAGCTTTTCTGTATTAAGAGACTAAAGAGATAGAACCAAATCCATTGACTGAACTTGTTTAGATTCTGGTTCAATCAAATAACTTTAAAAGATATTTTCAAGGATAGTTAGGAAGTTTCAAATATGTATGTTTGCTAGATAGCAATATGCCACTATCATTACATTTTTTTAAAGTACTGTCATTATGTGGAAGCATTTCCTTATCCTAGGAGAAAGGTGGAAATATTTAGAGTTGAAGCATTACCATAACTCTAAGTAGTTCATTAAAAATGTTAAGGGAACAAATATGGCAAAGTACTATCAATTGTTAATTTAGGTGGAAAGTATCCTATTCATAGTCCTATCCTTTCAAATTCTCTGTATGTTTGAAAACTTTCACTGTAAAAACTTCCACATAGTGTATATTCTCATTATAAAACTCATTTTTGAGAAAAATAATATAAAAATTCCTTTATGGGGGAAAACAGGTAAGATAATTCTCTTAAGTAAGTCCAAGTACTAAATAAAACACTGGATTTATAGTCTGCAAATCAAGTACCTGGGGAATTCTGTGTATACATACCGGTTAAAACATGGTGAAGCAGGATCATTGAAATGTTTGTAAGGGTTTGCTCTAGACAGAGAACCCATGCAAATCCAACAGAAATATTGCATACAGCCAGTACATGTCATCTTGTTACATCCATCTAATTTCTGGTGGGAAGGATAGAAAGAGAAAAATATCAAGGCTGTAAAAGCAGAAGAGACAGGCACATGCCAAAAAGATTCAGTACAACATTCTCCTAGTCACAGATAACTATGTAATGCTTTCTATTTTATATTACAAGTAAAATAAAGGAAATAGGTAGCTAGTGTTACTACAACTAGCTACTTGGCACAGTCTCTTCTGATAAACAGTAGATACAAATTACACACATATAACTGGAACACATAGTTAGATTAACATTAAAATATTTGGATGTAACAAGTGTGGGTTTTTAATTTTTACATAAATCTAAGTAAATATTTGGTACCAAGTCCTCCATTCTGTCATAGGGCTAAGGTATGTTAAAATTGATTATATGGCCTGGTGCAGTGGTTCATGCCTGTAATCCCAGCACTTTGGGTGGTCAAGGCAGGCGGATCATTTAAGGTCAGGAGTT